CCAGGCCACCACTATCTGGTCTTCCCCATGTCCACCCTGGAGGAGGAAGCTTCTAAAGCTCAAACTAGGTGTATCTCAAACTAGGTGTATCTCCAGTTGGAAAGCTCTGAAGTCTTTGTACTTAACATGAACTCCTGCTGGCCTCACCCCTGCCTCACACTTCCACCTCAGGGCCTTTGCACAGGCCCTCCAGCTCACTTCTGAGCAGTTCACACAACCTGCTGGTGAATCTGCTGTCAGCTGGGTTCCAGCAACTTGAGCTCTCCGGGGTCAAAACCTACATTCAAATCCCATTCTTATAACCTTGTGGCATGAGATGATGGATATATTCTCGGGCTCCACTTTTAAAAATTTTGAGTGGGAACAGGATGTGAGGATGAAACAAAGTCGGGTGTTGACATGGCTGTGTAGAAACAAACCAGGGAACAGCCTTGCTCTATACAGTACCGTACATTCAAGGGCAAAAATGGTAAGACAGGTACTGGATGGGAACAAGTACAGGGGCTGGGTGAGTGGAGAGTGCGGGGTGAGTGGAGAGTGCGGCGTGAGAAGCCCCCAGTCTTTGCTTCCCCTTATTGTCCGGGGTCTCTGGGTCCTCCGGGCCTGCAGGGGGCGCCTGGCGCATCGGAGTAACCTGCTCCCGGGTTGGGCCAGAGCTGTGGAATCATGATCACCGCCGAGGCCGTGGCGGAGTCCGCTGTCTCCGTAGCGCCGGGTGCTGAGGCCGCCACTGGAGTCCCGGAGCGCGAGGAGCCGGTGTGGCCCTGGGTGAGCTCGAGCCCGAGCAGGAAGTAGCGTGGGGTGGGCGGTGCAGGATCGGGGGACGCCGTCTTCATGCCTTAGCCATGCCCCCCGCCCCTTAGAAAGATGCCCCGATCCGGGCGCTGGTGCAGCGAATCCACCAATTGCAGGCTGAGCGCGCGCAGGCCTTCCGCCGGCTGGAGGAGTAAGTGTGGGCATAGGGGAGGGCAGGGGTCACAGGGTTAAGCCCCTAGCCCGCTCTGGAGATGGGCGTACCTTGAGGAGGAACTAGGTCCCCGCGCGGCTGCGTTGTCAGAGGTGGGGCGGGGTTTGTCCGGAGACCAGAGCTCCGAGTGGCGTCTCTCCCTTACCCACGCTCAGGGGTGGGCCCGTCTCGAGTTACCCTGCGGGAGTTAAAACGTCCTCCACATTCTGGGGTCCAGGGATACTTCCTGGGAGGCTTCTAGGTAGTCGATGCGGTTGCAGGACCTGAGAGCCAGTGCCGTAGCCTCAGGACCCCCATCTGCCGCAGAGGCCACCGCCAGTACCTGAGCAGCGGCCCGCCTTACGACTTCCCGCGCTACCGGAGCACGGTACACGAGGTGACCCAAATCTTCGCCGCCGCCTCGCGGGAGGTAATGGCGGTGGAGGCCGAGCTGGCTGGACCCCGAGTGCAGCCGCTGCTCGCGAGCCACGTGCGCAGCCTGCAGCAGCTGGAAGAGACGCGCCTGGCCACGGTGAGGGCCCTCCCCCGGCCTCGTATCCTCCTACTCCACCCCTTGTCTCTCGGGCCTTAGCCCACTGTGCGCCCCTTGAGGGAGGGGCCAGGTTGTCCCCTCAAACCTCGCCCCTGGTGCCCCAGAACCCACTCTTCCTGGCCCACCTAAGTCGTTCATTAAGGTTTCACTTAAAATTCTCAAGCTTAGTCCCCTCCTGTCCGCCCCCAGTTTCACCCAGGTTTTTAGTCCCAGGACACGCCCACTCCATCCCAGACCCCGCCCCTAGGGCGCTCCTACCCCTCTGGTTCTAACCAACTCCCCAGGCTGGTACTCCAGATCCCTGCCTACTCCTGGGCCTACTCCTCCCGCTAGGGTTCCAAGGCCCCGCCTACTCTGTCCCGACAGCCAGTCCTGACCGAGACTGCAGGCCAAATCCACGTGAAGGCACGCCCACATCATATGCTACACTGGGATTCCCAGGCCACTCTGCCTTAGATTCCCAAACCCAGTCTAGGTTTTCGGCCTACTTCCACCCTGAATTATAACGCCAGGCAGGTCCCTGAGATTGAGACCCCCGCCTACTTCACCCCCGACCACCAACCCCTGGTTGAGATTTCCCGGCTAACAGTTCCCCTACCTTTTATGCCTACATGAAGCCACGTCCCCATTGCTCTCTCTCTGACTCTAGGGCTGCCCACTCGGCCCCACTCCTCCCAAGCCCCCCTAAACCTAATCCTAGATTCCTCCTGCGCTAAGTACCGCCCCTTGAGACTCCCCGCCTGCCATGGCCTCACTCTTGTGCTGCCTTTTTCGCTGTGTCAGTGTCTCTTCCTCCCTATTATGTGGGAGGGCAGGGGGTGGCCTCTGTCAGCTGTGACATCTTCCTTGCTGCCCACTGCCCATCCAGGTGGCCCTGCTGCAGCTGATGGGGGCACCAGAGCTGACTGGGCAGGAGGACACCGTGCAGATGCACCAGCTGAAGATGAAGTGAGTGCTGCCTCCCAGTGGGCTGACTGTGCTAGACTTGCACATGCACTCTTGGGTACCCAACCCCAGCCAGGTGTGCCCCAGGGCTGGCAAGGTCAGACTGTGCCAGTCCTCCAGACCTGCACACAACTCTTAGGATGTGCACACCTGAGTCCTCACCTGGTGGCTCCTAGATGTACAGCAGACATTCTCTCAGCACACACACTGCAATTTCACACCAGACTCTGCATTTTCAGGGCACAGCTGCACACGTCACACACACCAATCCTGCTCACATGGCTTGACTTGGAGCGTGGACATGGCTGCCCTGGCCCCACCAGACACATGCCTGCACATTCCTGCCTTCAACACCCCCCAAGTGCGCACATGTGCACACGTGCTCAACATCTGCCAGTGTCACACTCTGCACCTTCCCTGTGGCACATACCGACCCAAAATGGCCTTTTCTCTCTGCCACTCTGACCCACGGGACCACCACTCCTCCCAGGTACACAAATGGTCCTCCCGGCTGTTAGTGCTGCTTGGAGGTTTGGCAGCAGGCAGGAGGGCCCAGGGTCTGCCCCCTCAGAGCTGCGCAGCAGCGGCTAATTCACCCCATCTGGGTTTTATTTATAGTTCCCATCCACTCTTGTAGGGTAATTAAAACCATGGAAGCGATCAGCGAGGTTCTCCAGGACCTCAGGTTTGATGCGGAGTCTGCCGAGTGATGGTGGCTCCCCAGGGATGAGCCGAAGGAGATGGGAAATGGAACAGACGGCATCCGGCCCAGCCCTGACCACCAGCTGGCTGGGGTCTCGCCCCACTGGGCTACTGATCCTCTTCAAGTTCGCCTCACCTCTCACAATAAAAAACCTAAAGAACCTTTTGTCTGCAGCTGCCTCTGTCCTGGGGTGCTGAGGTGGGGTCCACAAAGCTAGGAAAAGTGGGTACAAGATTCTTCCTCTCCCTGACTCTGATGTTTTGAATCACACTCCCTAAGAAGTTTAGAACCAGATATTTCAGATCGTGGAGAGAGTCAGAAATTCTGCGAGGTGAAGATTCCTGTCCCAAAGGGTCATTAGGATTCTCATGTCTCCCCCGAAACCCCACAGCCCCTATCCCAGGCCAGTCTAGCCCCACACTCACCTTCACAATCAGGGCAGCTAAATAGCTTGTTTATTTAAAAAGACTGGAGGGGGCCCTGGGTAGGGGATGGCCTTCTTCACCCCCAGCCCTGGCAGGTGTTCTGCAAGGCGGCCCACCCTCACAAACACATACACCCTCCACTGGGGTGCGCCTCACATGGAGGCCAGAGCTGGTGTGGCCCTCAGAGCTCAGAGTGCTCGCTCCAATTGCTGAGAGGGCTGGAGCACCCTGAGGTGGGGGTACAGAGGTGGCCCCCAGTCTGGGTGTGGCCCCTGCGTCTCCATGCAGCAGGGAGGGCAGCCCCAGCCTCTAGAGCTTATCTGGCAGGACCTGCAGGCAGAGGGGAAGCCAGGCTTAGCAAGGAGCCTGGAACGACCTAACACCACAGAACAATTGAGAAGGCTCCATTTCAGGTCCTGGCCCCATCACTTTGAGCTGGGTGGCCCTATTAGGCTATTGGCCCTCTCTGGGCACCGGTTTTCCCATCTGAGAAGTAAGAATATTTATTCATCCCATAGGGTGTCCTGCAGGTAGCACACTTTGTACAGGGCCAGTATGCAGTAGGCGCTCATACATGCTAACCGGGTGAGTATGAGTATTAATTCCTGAGGACGACATTCCTCCTTGGACATTTTAAAGGGGTCTGATGTTCTCAGGCTAAAGGCCACAGGGCCAGGCACATAGTAGGTGTTAGGTAAATGCTGATAAATGAGACAGAGGAAGAACTTTAGGGCTGGGGGGGGCGGTGCCCACAACCTGTGGCCACCCAGGAGGGGCCCTTGTCTCCTACCCTGCCCACCCACCTGGGCCTCCTTACCTCTCGCCGCGCCCCTTCTGCCCGAGGGCAGGATCCCCTCGTCCTGTGCTTGGAAGGAAGGAGGCAGTGACTGGGGGCTGCGGACTTACCTCCTCAGCCAGTTTACCCCCGTGGCCCCACCCATCCACCCCTCTCCCAGGGGTCCCTCCTTCCTACCTGGTTGCGGGTCTTATGTGACTTCTGCATCCAGGCTCGCCACT